GAACTTTTGTTTTGATGTTGATGTAAATAATATAATCAATCAGTGAACTATGTATTTCAGTTTCCGGTTTAATAATTCCACATATCCATTTCCAAATACTTTATACTACTGTTAAGACATCATATTGACTGTAACAGCAAATTATGAATAAACGTAAATAATAATGTAAATAAACCAGTTCATAATTGATCTATTACTTTTTATGGAGTCCACTTCCATTTTATACCATCCCACTATGCACACACATGCTCATTTTGTATGATGAATCTACCACCACAACATACACACACGCACACACACACACACACCTGCCATGTCCAGCTTTGTGGCCTCTGGGTTGTGGATGATTGGCAGGTGAGTCATGCCAATGCCCCTGCAGCTGATTTCTCTGTCAGCAGTCTGACACTCTCTGAGAGGAGACTCTGTAAAGCCGGATTGTGTTTCTGTTTGATTGCTGGGAGTCTCAGTTGCCTCCTCCTCCTCCTCCTCCTCCTCCTCCTCTTCTTCTTCCTCCCCCTCTTCCTGCTCTTCTTCCTCTTCCTGACAATTGACAAATTCAAAAACATGACATGACAGAAAATTGCTCCATTAACTCAATTGGGTAAACCTGTTGAATACCACACCACGATACTGGGGGCGGCACGCGATTTTCACCTCAAAATGCAAATGGGAAATCCAGGGATGATCATAGTATTTTGTCACCCTACCCATGCTACACACCTCTGTGAATTTAGAAGGCTCAGCTAGAAGCTCAACCATTTTTATCCACACCAAACACACATCAAACACCAAGCATCTAAATGAACTTCTATCACAACATAAATCGCTTTGTAATCACTGTACATGGCTGCAGTTATTGCCTTCCAGATGTCTCTCATCCTACACCGCAGTCTGACCACTCTAAAGAAAGCTCAGCTCCAGCTCTGATCAGCTGTGCTGCTCATATCACTCAAATCATAAACCTCACAGAGTTATTAGCCGGATAATAATAACAACAAATGCACCAATATACATTTACAGTTACAACCGCTGACTTACTTTTGCCGTTTTTCGCTGTTTTCAGTCCAAAAACAGCTGTTTTTTGTGTATAAAGATCGCACCAGGCCGCCATCTTGGTATTGTGCAATAGCTGAGCTGTGAGGTTTCGTTTCTCTCGTCAAAATGAAGGAGAGAAGACTTGTTGCTTTAGAACAGACGGTATTTATTGTTGTCTACTGGCTGACTCGTAGGAGCTACACAGACATCCAATATATCAAACAGCCCCATAGGATGTTCTGTTCTCAAGTTGTGGGCTTGTAAAATGGGTGCTTTTGGTCACAGGAATATTTATCAATATTCACAGTTTTTATCAATATTTCAATGTTTTGGAAGCTTTATGTTATTTGGAACATGGTTGTATGGCCAGAAATAGTGTTTTGAAGAAAACTCCCAATAAAAGTGAACATATAAACAGTAAATATGGCCAAAACATGGACATTCGCCTGGTATATTTTTGAAAAGTGTGTAATAACTGTTGTATATTAGTAACTCAAGCAAAACAACAGCCTAATTTCTACATAAAAAAGTAAACCTCTTCCTCCTCTTCTTCCTCGTCATCATCGTCGTCGTCATCATCGTCATCATCGTCATCATCATCATCTTCTTCCTCCTCCTCCTCCTCCTCCTCCTCCTCCTCCTCCTCCTCCTCCTCCTCCTCCTCCTCCGCTTTCCCTTGATCCATCAGTCGCCGCTTTTCAGCATGAAGCTCCTTCAGTACTGCCATGAGAGAGCTAGTCTCCTCCTCCCCTTTTCCACGCTTCCTCCAGCCCATTAGGGGTGGCCCCAACCCTGCCTACAATAATACAATGATACAATAAATCACTCGCATGAAGGATCAAATCAACATACACCTAAACAGTCTTAGACCAGCATATAACATGGGTGAAGTGTTCTTTTTTGTCTTTATTTATTTAAAAAATGCATTTCTGTGATTACATGGCAGAATCAAGTGCCATACTATTCTATATGCAGTGGCCTCCACTGTAGCTGCGTGCTTCCTCTTCCCCCAGGCACCTCTCTTGCTTCTACCAGCCTCCAGCTTCCGTAAATCAACTCCTTGATGCTCCCTCTCCTCCTTTGCTTCCACCTCGTCCTCACTCACTTCATCACCAATCACAAAGCAGAGCAGAATTAAAGACATAAAGCAATAAAAAAAGTTAGTTTTTTTACTCTGCTGTATGAGCTAAATAACTTTTTTAGTTATTAAAGCATGTGTTTGTCAACATCATGCAGACATAACCAGGCAGCATTTCAAAGACAAAAACATTGTCTTACCAGCAGAGAGGGTTGCTCTTGAAACAGATGTCACTCCTCTATCAATTCCTGGTGGATGAACATCTGCTGTTCCTATTTCATGTGTCTCAGAAGAGGTTTCCAAGTATGCATCCATGTCCTGCAAAGAGTTTAGGCTTTGCCCGGGCAATACTGTGCCACATAGACAAATGAACACGATACATGTCCTTGGCATCTGCATTGTTGGATGTTTCCTTAATTTAAGTTGGAGAGACAGGTCCAAATTTTGTAGATCTTCAGGGTCAAAGCAAAGACAAAGCAAATCCACAGAAAGCTTTTGCCAAAGGGAAGAAACTTAAGGTGAGAGCTTACACGAGAGGATAAAAGTCCACAAAACCCGAGAATTTGAGATTATGGACGCTTATAGTGAAAGCCTTGATGCTGTTTCTCTGTTGTGAGGTGGCAAAAAGCAGTTCTAAGCCATGCTGCGCATGTCCCCAACAAGAGTGATTGCTGAAATGAAGAAAGAGCAAGAGGGTGGGAAGAAATATCTAGGAGGTAGACAGGTCAAAAAAAAAAAAAACTCTTACATTGTTAATAAAGGCCCTTGTTCATCGTACCATGAAATACACAGACCCGCCCTGCTCCTCCTTGTCTCCTCACCCTTTCATAACTGTCTGCTCACACTAGGTGGAAAGCAGGGATTCGTGGAGAACATGAGGGATAGACCGGGAGCAAAAGATAGAAACTGGAACACAATAAGTTTCATACACCGGTGATAGATTCCAGTTGGACATTATTATGTGGGTTGGCACATGAGTTTGTGACCCACTGTCAGTTTTGTGTTTTTCCCCCTGAATGAATCAGACTGATCTGGGACATTTTCCAACAAGTAGACAGTTCAGGTCGGAGTCAGTCTTGTTGGCTAAAGCTCCAATCCCATCTATGTATGAAAACAAACACGACCTCTGAGAGACAAGCAATGAGCCTGTCTTTACATTCTGTACATACATACTGTCTGGATGCACAAACACTGTGATGTTTCCACATGTACTCGTGTGTGTGTGTATGTGTAAACACCACACTCACGTCAAGTCAAGCAGGTGCCACTGGCTGACTGCTGAGCCAAACCGGGATTTTCACTGTGGAGTGAAACCTGCTGACAGCCCCTCTTTATTTGCTCGGTAACCACACACACACACACTAAATCTGTCAATATGTGTGTGCATGCGGACAGGCACTTCTTGTTATTAACAAGATCCACGGACAATCATTTCTTCTTTTATCAAGGTCAATTTTATGTATTACATCCAGGTTTGCTTTTCTTCACCTGAAACTCAGCAGATGAGACCGAGACAACAGCAGAATCCAGACATATTCCAAATGGCACATAGGACAAGTTAACACTAAACACTGAAACACTCTTCATGTGCTCCTCCAAAGTAAACAGTGATGTGTCCAAATACCATGTATTTAAATCTGGACAGTAATCCACTGACCACACTCAACCCCTTTCTTGACCTCAGTCACACTCAAGCCCACTTGATTAATAATTTCCACTGCAGAGGCTTGGGATTCATCCAACATAAATACTTCACGTTCTCTTCCAGGTCTAGTCACTCGGTTGAGGTTTTTTTTTTCCCCCCCAACCATCACTGCTGTGATCTGTCCTGTCTCTGCCATCTCAGCACTTTACTACCTTATTTTGTCACTCACAATAAACATGTCCTAGACAGTTTGACCACTGCTATCTCTACAACACACGATACAGGCCTTTTGGTTCTGATACTACTCCAGTACAGTGGTCTCAGTGGTGAAGCTAGGCCCCATCTTACGACCCAGGGTTAGGGTTACAATTTTGGATTTATTCACGCACTTTTGAGACATTTACTGAAAGTTTTATTTTTACATGTTTATTTACAGTATTAAGCGTTGAAATGTATATTGTAATAGGCTGTATATTAACTTCTTGGGAGAAAACTGGTAGTTCTATGTAAAATCAGATGTTGAGCACCCCCATTTCGCCAAAATTGCATGAGCCTTGGTTTCACTGCGAAGCTTCTGGTGCGTTCCATTCAACATGGGAAGTCAGAATTTCCGAGGTCAAAGGTCAAAGTTTCAAAGGGAACGACCCCTTAAGTCGGAATCCAGACTTAAGAATCTCACTACCCCGACTTCGTGATCCAAGATGGCTATCGGGGTATCAGTTAGTGAAAGCTCTAGTTTATATGGTTTTAGCACTTCTGTGTACGTGTCTCAGAAATGTTTGTACACAAAGTGCTGTACAGTCGAGTCAGGCTCCGCCCATCAAGTCGTCGACTAGTGGGAGTCTGCCCTACTTAAAGTCAACCTCATGGTGGCACAAATGTTGCAAGGGCAGGGGAATCCCTCTCGAAGTCAGACACATTTCACAGACACTGTCAAGTCAGCGGCTTAAAGTAGGTAGAATTCATTACCTGGGAAGCACGCACACACACACACACACACACACTTGGCATTACTCCTTCCAGTACATGTTTCACTGGATAAAGTGAAAAGATCAGCAGTATGACCCATTGTGGCACCATATCAGAAGTCCATGCATCGGTACAAGTCAATTACAAGTCATCCAATAATTGACATTTTAGCATGGCCCAAGTAACACTGCCACCTGTACACCACACTAGTCAGCTGAAAAGGAAAGGGGGGGGGGGGGAATAAAAATACACAAAAAAAACCCCACACCATTACACTGTGTTAATCATTTAATTCAGCACAACACAGCTATGACAGGATTACACTGGTGACCTGGAACACCAGTAACAGTATATGATGCTCATGTGGCCAGGAATCATTAAGAGGAATGCGCAAACAGTTCATAACTACATAGGTTTAACTTCTCTCACTGGGTCTGAAGAGAATTCTCTACCAGAACTAAAAGCTGACAACTACAAAAATGATCTAGAACAGATTTATGGATGAACAGTAACAGTGCTTAGAAAAAGCAGTGACAAGACATGAGGCATGGTGGTCAGGAATGTGAAGTGAATGTAGGAACGCAGTTCATAGAGGATCAGAACCTGCACAGGCCGCTGGTATGCTTCTGTCTGAGCCACATGCAAAACACCATTTTGAAGACAAAAAGTATACAAACCAAAAAAAAAAAAAGGAATGTTGCAGAATAGACCCCATCGGGAGAAGAGGGTACTACAAGGTGCACACGGGGGGAGTAATATTAACACCGCACTCCCATCTCTCCCCATCTGCGATACTAATACAGGGTTAGCACACTGCACTCGAGTCAAAACCACAAGATGGCACAGAAGTTCACAGGTCTTCACGTGATCATGCCAGGTAGCTGCAAGTTGGGTAGAAAGTTGGTTGTGATGCAACAGAGCAACAAGCGGGAAACCAGGCGCAGTTCTTAGTTTGCAAAGGTCTTACGCACGGCGCTGGCAATGTGCTTGGCGCTGATGCCGAAGATGTCGAGCAGCTCTTGGGGCTTTCCACTGCGAGGAACGCCGCTCACTGCCAGCCGGGTCACAATAATACCAGGCTCCTGTCCCACTGCTGACAGCACTGCTTCGCCAAGACCACCTGGAGAGGGGAGACAGAACAGCAATGCATCACATAATGCTGGTGATAAAAGCCAATTCTTTTATTAGCACAGCAGAAACCAGTCAGTTCAAATCACTAACAGGTTAGAGGTGTACAATACATGGTTTCAGCATCTACACTACAATGTGCTATAATCACATTGCAGGATGCATGTCAAGTCGACACTTCAGGTTAGAACTTTTTGCTGCTTGATACAGAAGGAAACACATTGTTCTCATTTTACATAACTCATCTATAAAGTCTGATATAAGGGTTCTTTGATACAGAGTGATCAGATCCTGATATGCTGTGGTGAAGGGGTGCACTTCAGTTTATCGAACCACCAAAGCAGGCTCAACAACCCCACCAAAACTGCCTGATTTGGTTGTTTGATTAACTGATCATGTGCAACCCATCACCAGAGCACACAGTGAATCGATCGCTTTGATGAGATGACTCTGAGTGCGTGTATTCTGTTACCAGTGGCACCTTGTCCCAGTACTGGTTAAAAGTTCTCTCTCCATTTAGCAATGTCTGTCAGAGTTGCATACAAGCAGATTTCTGCTGGGGTGGCAGAGGGCTGAACAACTGTCTCACACAGGCAACTACCCACCCTCCTTGTAGTGGTCCTCCACAGTGATGATCTGTCCACCTGTGGCTCTTGCACTGGCCAGAATGGTAGAGGCATCCAGGGGCTTGATGGTGAATGGGTCAATTACACGGATGTTCTTCCCTATAGGAATTCATTAAGTTGGAGATGTTCATTAGGCCACAAGTTAACTGAGCAGCTCCCTGAATTGCCCCCCCCCCCCACACACACACACTGGGGCTGGTGGTTATGAAACATAGGCCTCGACACCTACATCTATCCACTAGAGGGCAATGCAAGTTTACCTTCACTGGCCAGCATGTCAGCGGCAGCAAGGGCTTCATGCAGAGTGACACCAGCTCCGATCACAGTCACCTTATCATTGTCAGACTGGCGCACCACCTGGTGAAGTACAGACAATTTTCTATATAAATTTTTCCTGGTGTCCATTTCCCATCTCTTTGTTGCTAAAGGCTACTTCATGAAAAAAGGATTAGTGCGTCTCAAATCACAGCACTGATCATTACCTTGGCTACACCCACTTCAAACTTCTCATCTGGAGAGTAAAGGACTGCAGTGTCTGGTCTACTGGTGCGGATGAAACAGATACCCTAAGAATATAGAGGCATTAGTTAAAACAGGAATGTAACACATTGTCAAGGCAGTTTACTGGACATGCCACAAGGTGGCCTACCAACCTTTGTGTTGGCTGATAGCTCAACAGCTCTTTCTGTGGACACTGCATCACTGGGGTAAAACAGAGTGCATGTTGGAATAGCACGGAACATGGCCAAGTCTTCTAGGGCCATCTGGGAAGGACCATCCTCACCTGAAAGCAGAGTAAAATCCGTGAGTGGCAGGACACACCGAAAACTTGCGACTCTGCAGCAGAAAGCTTACCGATGGAGACTCCACAGTGGGACCCTACCAGGTTCACATTTGACTGGGAGATGGCTCCCATACGGATCTGGTCATAGGCTCTGGAGAAGAAGGCAGCAAACGTGCTGGCAAATGAAACTGTGCGGTCACGGGTGGCACAGCCAATGGCCACTCCTACCTGCAGCAACAAGCAAACATATCAGTCTTAATGACAGTGATCATAAGCAAAGGTGCAGTAAACTAGTCACAAGTGACAAATAGCAGTTAAAGGCTGGGATTGTCATGCTGGAGAACGAATACCAACAGGTTAGGACTGATTTGGTGCAGATTATGGTAGTGAAGAGTGTAGAGAGACCATTTTATCCCTCTTCTATAAGATGTTTAAATGTGATTAATGTCCAACATCTCCAACTGCAGCATTTAAATAACCTGGTAAGACAAGATATATTGTGCACCATGTTCTGTTCAGCGATGAAGCACTCAATGTATCGTTCAGGGAAGGCCTTCTTGAAGATGTCGGAGAAGGTGGAGTTTTTGGTGTCTCCATCAAGGGCCACCACTCTCTTGCTTGCCTGGCCCAGCTTGGCCAGTGCCACGCCGTATGCGCGCCTTGTTGCCATCTGACAGCGCAGGAAAGAAGTGTAAATAAATGAAGTTAAATACCACAATATTCTACATCTAGGTTAAAAATGTCTCTGGTGCAGATATCAGTATAGGTCAAGGCAGCCACCCACTAAAAACACAAGACTTAAACAGTAAACTTGTACAGACTAAGCATTCACTGACCATTGACAGGGCAACACAAACACACCTTATCTCCCTTTTTGTATTCTGGAGGTGATGGCAGTGAAATGACACTAAGGTCTGCAGGTGCTGTGTCATCTTTGGGCAGCTCAGGGCACAGGGTTTTGTTGGGGACCTGGATCAAAGCCTGCAGGTCATTGAGGAGTTCATCCACCTTGTCCTTGGGGATGGGCTTTCCGTGCCAGTTGTCAAGATCCTCAATATCTACAGCCAAGGAAAAGAGGTTTCTCTACTATCTCAAATTCAGATAGAATAAAATTGTTCAGTAAATACAATATTCACCATATGAAAACTTCTTACTTTTGAGTCCTTTGCCTTTAAATGTCTTTGCTACAATGCAAGTGGGTTTGTCCTTGACCTGCTGAGCTTGCCAGAAAGCTTTGCACAGCTCCTCCACATCGTGTCCATCCACAACATATGTGTTCCACCTACACAAACAAAAAACCAAATCCACACACACAGCACAACAAAAAACAGAGGCACATTAACTTAATAGAAAATCCAACAAGCATGTGACAAACAGATGAGCAGGAAGTGGCCAAGTGAGACGTTAACCCAAGAAGTTTCAGAATAAATGAAGCAATCCCTCATAATGTTTCCTAGTAAATAGTGGAGGAATGGCAAGTTTGGTACTGACCCGAACGCTTCACAGCGCTTGCGGTAGATGTCCATGTCGTGCTTCAGGGGTGCAGCCTCACTCTGACCGAGCCGGTTGACATCAATTATTGCCACCAAGTTATCCAGCTTGTAGTAGGAGGCAAAGGCCATGGCCTCCCAAACTGAGCCCTCTGAACACTCCCCATCACCCATCATGCAGTATACACGGTAACTACAACACAATGTAGAAAGGGGAAAATGGGACATATTGGTGTTGTCCTTCCAACTACTGTCACTGCATAATGAAAATAGTCTGCTGAGTTGAGGTTTGAGTTTGACTAGATAAGGGAAAGTAAAAAAAAAAAAAAAAGTCACTCAATAAGACTGCAGAAACAATTGATTGTGTCTATGCAGCAGAGTAAAACCTACCTTAGTTTCCACATGCGACTCAAAATAAGCGAGTATTATCTGCAATGAACATTTATTCCAATGGACAGATTTGTGAATACATTTGAGTTGCTAGTCTCAGAGAGCAATAAATCCTTCAGTAATATTTTAACTACCTTTAGTGTTACTGTTGCAGCAGTGCAGACACCTGTTTCATATCACAGTTATAGGGACAAAAATTGTCACCGTTATCAGCATTGTGCTTTTAAAAACACCACACGATAGAAAATGTTCAGGAAGTACAGACACACTGAAATCATTTCACAAGTTCTATATTGAAAACAATACAAGCAGCGCCGTGCACCTTTTATATGCATAAACATTAAACAAGCAATACCTTATGTAAACATTTAAAACCACCACAATGCGCATTATTATATATTAAAGTTATAAAGTAATGCAATGACCCCTTGCACAGATTTGCATCATTCAAGTTAATCTTAAGACAATACTGAAATACAGGGAGAGATCTTGTATAGCAGTCTATAGTGTTTGTCCTTTTAGAACACTTAAAAACCAATTTGAAATGAAGAAATTGTTTGGTGACTGAACTAGGTATGCAGTTATGTGCAGTGTGGACTAAGTTTGCAGACACACGCAGCAGCACACCACATGAAGTGTTTTTACAAGACTAGGTCATACGGCTCAATGGCGAAAAACAAAATAATCAAACACACACCCCCGACAACAACCTAATGGCGATTTAGACCAATTTGCAATTGCAAAACGATTTGATATTGGGAGTGAACATTTACATAATTTCTCATTGAAAAACAATCAAATGATTAGTGTGCGATTTTTGCAGGGATCCGTACCAAACAAAGACGTTTTCTTAAGTAGAATTTGATGATGTGTAGACCAGGACGTCACAAACATGATTATAATGATAAAGAAAATCATGAAACTAGTAGCCATTTCATCTAAAAGATTTGTGTATTGGGCACCACTTTTAATTAAAAATGGATAATTTAAAAGCTATTCCTCACCTACTAGTCAAGGCAATACACGCCTGTTAAATGATATTTCTCTTTCTCTACAGAAACACTCCAGTATAGAAAACCCCAGCCTTTAAGTTATCTACTTTCAAAATGTAATGCACTGTATTAATGCGCCAAGATCAATGCTGAAAACTGACAAATGTTCCCGATCACCATAAACCAGTTTTAAAAAGCAGGATTATTCAAGTTGTTGAGCGTCTTAATGAATCTACAGTTTGTGGATACTTACCTTGATTTGTCAAAGTGTTTTCCAGTATAGGCCATCCCACATGCAGCGCCGAGACCCTGTCCCAGAGATCCTGTAGCCACATCAACAAACTCCAGTTTCTGGTGAACAGGAAAGGACAGGGGTTATGCTAGATACAAGTGACTATTCTTTTTGTCAAAAGGACACCAGTAAGAACCTTCAGATTTGACTCACTGGTGTGGGGTGTCCCTCAAGGTCACAGTCAATCTTGCGCAGGTTGACCAGATCAGACTCCTTCACGAAACCTGCCTCTGCCCAGGCAGCATACAGGACAGGTGCAGCATGACCCTAGAGACAGGGGGTCAGGATGTTACCAAATCTCAGGTGTGCTGACCAACTGAAGTATATCAATTTCTCTCAAACAAAAATGTGTGCCAACCTTTGAGAGCACAAAGCGGTCATTGCACTGGTTGCGAGGGTCATCTGCTTTATAGCGCATGGTGTGGAAGAAGAGCACAGACATGAGCTCTGCTGCACTGCAGCATGATGTGGGGTGACTGGGGAGAGAACATATACAGCCTGTTTAGAGTTCAAAGTAAAAACCTTTAAAGAAATTAAAGTCCACACACCATGCACATACATGCATGTGTTGCTACATTCAGGAGTCCTTAAACTTTGTTTTAGTGTGACAATAAGAACCACTTATGTACAACAAATCGGTCATTCCAAAAAACTTGCCAAGCAAAGACCCTTTTAAAGAGCCTCCTATTTTGGGATTAGGAATACCACTCGTCAAGAGATTGTTAATCGGTAACACTGTCACTTCAGTTATGTTGCCACAGTCCAGAACCCTTATAAAAACAATAAGCAAACTTGTGAAACTGTTAGTTGCTGCATAGAGGTCCGAGTATTGTAATAGACATCTTTAGAAATCCCATGTTACTCAATAGCATCTCAGCTTCCCTATGTGGGTTAAGATAAAGGGCATCATTTCAACCATGCTGGGAACACAGTTATCTTATTCAGCCACACACAGTCACGGTTACATTTTAAAACAAAAAAATAAACAAAAACCTAGTGCTCCGTTTACCCCTTGTCCTTCTGTTCAGCGATAATGACCTGCTGAGAAATAAACTAATGTCATAAAGCCATAACAAAAAGCAATCAGAACCTCAAGTGTAGAGTTCCATTATCTGTCAAATAATGAGGAACAATGTGTTGAGCAGGGTGTCAAAACCCAAAGACATCCTCTGTTGAGGGAGAGCAGCATCACAACATCAGCTCACACAAAATTATTCATCCATTTCCTTGACAGTTGAAAAGAAAGACGAAAACAGGTTTTCCAAAAAACAAAACCTTTGTGTGAGGGGGTGGGGTGCAACAAATATAATTCAAACTGTGTTGGTGACATTCTAATGCGACAGATGATAGCTAAGATCTTAAGTGCATATTTAAAAAGCAGGTTTATGTTTCTCCACTGTATTCTGGATGCTAAAAAAGAAAAAAAAAAAAAGTTACAGAAACATGTTTGCCAACAAGCTAAATAGCAGGGAGAAAAGGTTTCAGTACAAAACCTCTTAAACCACTTTCACAGATAAGCATGACAGTTTGTGTGACTGTCAGCTAATTATAGGCATCCAAAACACATTATTTCAAATTTCATACAGAGATGTAGACATTACGTTATAACCCATAATATAGGGTGACCAGATGTCCATTTTCCGGGGACAGTTCCCAGTTTTGGTGGCCTGTCTGTAGCCGTCCCCGGAAATGCCCCCGTTTGTTAATCATAGACTAAAGCATTAACAGACCTGAAATCAGATTGTACACGGCCAGAAAGACTGGACAGCAGAGAATACAGGTGTCGTGCTGAAAACTGATTCGATGCGCACAAGCATAACATCACTTTGTCTGTGGTCTAGCAAAAGCATGTCTGTGATACTTTAATTTTTCTTTTAACTGAATAATCACAGTGGCCAAATAAGTGTTGGCAGTTTATAGCTTAACCAGGCATGACATTTAGCCTATGTGACCACAGGCAATAAAAGCCTGTTGTTGCCAGTGGAATGTTTGGTAGCCCTATGTCTAAAATCCTTGTTTATATTTGGAAAACAAAATGAAGCTGATAACATAACTTACTGCTGAGTTATATATAAAATAAAGACAAGATCCATTTTGCAATTATCCTTATGACTGTAGTCTTTAACTTGCTGTGTGTACCAACCAATCCAGTCCTTACCTGTTGAAATACCTTTGAATGGCCAATAAAACCCATGTAATGCAGTATTCCACTTGCCAGAAAGTGACTTATTGACTGAAGGTAGATTCTGCCTCAAAATAACTTGATTTCCTTCAGAAGAGTTATATTTGACAGATTATAAAAACGAAATTGCCCCCCTTTATTTCATATAATTTTTTAAGTGGCATACTGACCACGAAACCAAAAATGTCGCCGGTTTTCATTTCAGAAATCTGGTCCCTTTATCATAATCCTGACAGAATACTGGATGGCATACAGGATGGCAAAGGGCAGCCATAATACCGTCTAGCTCACGGTTATAAAGTTACACACCACAAAAGAAAACGTTGTCAACCATTGTCACTTTCACATTGGATGAAGACATCTGCTTGCCAAACATCTTCTGGGAAGTCTGGCAGGATGAAGCAATACCTCAGGTGCCGTTTTAAGGTCGTCATACTTGACACAGATTTCCTGACAGCAAATCAACTGATTTGACTTGTCCTTCTGTCTGGCATTTTAGGACGTAGTCGCAACTTTAAAGTATGCGCGTCAAACTGGCCACGAGATTTCCATTATCGCGCGAGTAAGTTAACGTTTCTGGTTAGCTAACGTTAGCTATTTATAAGCTATATTAAAAGCAGACCGGTGGTAAAGACTAGCGTTACGTGTGATCTAGCGACTTAATACCATTAACTGAGTCAGTGGGGGTGGATCCACAGCTAGCTTGGATAGACCCTGACCTTACGATAGAGACGCTGCTTTTGGTTTTCAAACATGTCGGCGTCTAAAAAATAACAACCAAAACAATGTCCACAAATAGTTAGCTTATGCCAGTCTTAGCGTAGACTGTAGACGCAGATAAACTTAGCCCACAAAGTAACTTAAAACCTTTCTTAAACAGTTTGAATATATTATTTGCTAGCTGTCGGCTGGAGCTAATTTTGTCACCGCGTGAAGATAATCTGCAGCACGTGCACCCGGGCCCCGCAGGTGAAACGTGCGTCTGCTCGAGTAACGTAATAACGTACACATTTCTTTCTTATTATAACCGTGATAGTTAATAACTCCATCCGACTAAACTTTAAATAACTCACCCAGAGTTTGAGGCGCATGTTGCCTTAATGGAGTGGATCCTGAGCTTGTTAGCGACGTCTTTAAGCCCCTGCAGAGTTTTCTCGTCGGGCTTGTGGTAGCTAGTCATGGTTTCTGGATTCAGAATGGCGTCCGCTACAAAAAATAACGTTGGTTACTTCAATCACACAGCTGCTTCCCGGTGTTGGAAGTTCAATGCTACGCCGCTGCTAGCCGTCTGCTTCAAGCACAACCGAGGGAGGAGGAACATGCGTGAGGAAGGGGATTTATGTCTCCTCTAACACAGCCACTCCCACCTGATCCAACCATTGGAGGAACAGATGTGGTGCAAGTTGCGCAGGAGATGCTGCTTGCACATATCCTTCTCAGCTCATGAAAGATACAGAACTAAGGCCACTTCGTTTGTATGATATAATTTTTTTTTTCATGACTATGTGACCAATAGATTGTGGATTTAAAACACGAGGATCGTTACAAGTAGCCACAATGTGGGGAACTATAAGTAGTTGTATGGCCTCGTTGTGAAATGATCAGGAAATACAAGGGCAGAAACTGAACCCACCACTTTGAAGACTTTAATAAATTGTACAATCTTTTCAGTGAGGTGGGCAGTTGACTTTGTGATTGTGGCAACAGTGTGATGGTGAGATGTGGAGATTTTATTGACAACTTCAGATTACTACTAATAAACAGAAAACAACTGCATTATTCGATACAATGTGCAGGCTTTGGTCGACAGTAAAATCCAGTATATAGTTGATTTTCCATCCAACTCATGTCACTGTCCCTTTAAAGCCACAGTTGGATGGCTGCCAACAGGGAAATGGTGGCAGATTTTGCCCTCTCATCCTTACTCAGGGAAACACAACAGTTTGGCTGGCAACAAAAGGTTCAAATACTCCCTCATTTCTTATTCCTTAGTCACTGACACATTGCTTTGTTGCTCCAGCTGATTGTCTGCATTTGTACATGTAAGCCTCTCAGAAATAAACATTTTCAAAACTTTTATTGTCGAAAAAAATAGATTGGCTTTAATAGTGTAAGAACATGACACAAGCAACACAAATTTACACATTTACGGATGATACACGTCATACAAGACACTCTATAGGCAAAAAGGTATACAATACATTTCATTCAACACTGTAACATTCACCCGCCTAGACACACCAAACCCGTTTTCAAGGAAGCCAAACACTTCCTCGTATTGGCCATCATTACAAATCTTATGGCAGAGATATTTCCTCTTCTTTAAGTTCCTGAAATGGCATACATGTCATTAGAGCTACCAGCAAAGGAGCAGTTTTTGTCTCAATATGCCACAGAGAGAAAGTTACTGAGCTTTACCTTGATTCTCTCCAGTGCCTCAGTCCGTTCCTCAGGGGAGACAAGATCTTTGTCAAGTCGCTCCAGATTGGGCAGGAGAACTAGTACACTCAGCCGGTAGTCGTTCGTTTCCACCAGAGGATTCTCGGAGAGGACCAAAGCTCGCAGAGTTTTTGACACAAGCCCGAGGCATTTCAGGGCATTCTCGTATAAAATGGCGTTGCCTCTAAGGGAGAGAGACACAGATCTAAGTGTATGGGATATATAATCTGGGGTATATAATTGTATTTGGTGTTTTACCAAATTGGTAATGGGAACCACTGTTACGACTATGATCTGTCCTGTTGTGATACAACTGTGTACCTGACATTGAGGTATTGGAGACACTTCATGTTGGGGCTGAGGCCTTCCAGAGTATCGAGCTGGTTGTCTCGAAGGTGAAAAGTGGTGAGGTGCTCTAACCTCTCTAAACCCTTCAGGTGTTTGATAACGTTTTGGGCCTGAACACAGGGCAAGAATAGTTACAGGCAGTTATTACATGGGCTTACTACCCATGTGTTGGTGTTCATGGATCAATTTCTTCAAGCGTGTTAGTGCTATTCACATCAGAATACTTTTATTACCAGATATAATTGCCGCAGGTTTGGAAGGTTGATGCCATCAATGGAATCCAAGTGGTTTCCCCTCAGCTCTAGTGTCACCAGGTTGGCAAAACAGCCACCCTGAAGACCATTCACTGTCTTTAAACCATTACCTGCCAGAGACGTTCCAAAATGTCATTAAAGGCCTTTCCAAAAAATGGAGATTAGATACCAGATATTTGATTACAATATTGCTGATGGATAACAGTTTGTTAATCCCAAGACTGACATATGGGATAGTAAACCCTCTTCTGATCAAATTAACTTTTCTTATGTCTTATCACTTTCTTGAATTACCTCACAACTCTGGGCTAGCTTAATACATCATCAGTCGTACGCATAGAATCACAGAAACACCACTTATCCTGACATGAAACAAACAAACCAACCTGTAAGATTTAGGCTCTCCAAGGCAGGCCCGACCAGGCCATCCAGGTCAGTTAGCCGGTTCGATGCCATGCTCAGCCACTGTAGGTAGGTCAACTGAGTGAAAGGTTGCCCTTTGAAACATGCCACAGCATTGCAGTCAACCTACAGAAGAGTTGCATTCAAGATTTACCATCAGTTAGAGTGAATGATACTGACAGCACCCAGAGATGTCCTTTTCTAAATGAATAAAGAAGTGAGATCCTTGCCTTCAGCCAGAGCAGCTGGGTCAGAGAGGCCAGAGGAGAAAGATCAGTAAGGTGGTTGTTAGAAACATCCAGAAAACGTAGGTGAATAAAGCTGCTGACTGCAGTTATGTCACTCAGTCCACTGCGGAGTACAGTGACGACAAAGTGAAAATTAGTATAAAATCAAAGTTTAACTTGGACTTAAAGTTACAGGACA